GGCGCCTTAGCCAGCTGAGCTATAGGCGCCGAGCCACAAATAATTCTCTTGATCTGTTTCTTCAGGAAAAATGATTCCAGGGCAAGTTAAGAGTCAACTGCCTTTCTCACAGCACCTTGTCGTGTTTCAGCCAGCTGCATGGCTGAGAAAGGGGCAAAGTAGTTATAAGCTTCCTGAGCACTATGGCTCCCATGCTAGTGAGAGCTGCCTAATCCATAGCAAGTCAGGGTCTCATCTTACGTTGGGGTTGGTAATCTTGGAGTGTTTACCCCACCTTGTGGAAAACGTGTCACTCCACAACAGTCTAGGGGCAGGACTGGCACAACCATCACTCCTCCCCATTTACAGCAGGCAGTCACACAGGTGTGTTAAACAGCTTTTAATCTCGGTCATTGTGGCTTCTCGGCACAGTAAGAAATATTGCACATGATCAACATGTTTTGTTTTGGGGATGGGGCAAGGGTAGGGGAATCACCTTCTTAGAAAGTACAACCCAAGTTGGGAGGGCAGAGGGGGTGAGGAGAGAACCCTCCCCATGCCTGTGGCAAAGTGCAGGAGCCCCCACCCCCAAACTAACCTGAGTCCAGCCCCTCTGGGGAAAAAAGGGGTTCATGAACTCCCCCCACTCCACAGGCACCTCCCTGTAGCCCAAGGCCCATGCTACCCTCCAGCTTGCAGCCCTTACACGAGCCATTTTGCATATAGTGAAAAGCTCTGAAGGTCATACACTCCAGTCCAAGTTATGTACAGGGGCTCAGTGGAGAGAGACTGCCCCTGCTTCCACTCAGCTGCCCCCCAGCACAGGGAGGGAGCTGAGGGGTGAGGGGCTATATACAAGAGGAGCAGGCCTCATTCCGCCCCAAACTGTAAAGGACGAAATGGCTTTGTTGGGGAGGAGGAACCATCCTGCACCCCCCATTCCTGCCACCTACACACTTGTCCATGTCCTGAGGGGGGGTACTCTGAGTCCTGGGATCTCAAGGTTCCCTCACCTGCCTGTGGCAGCTGTTGACGGGCCTGGGGGTGGGGGAGAAGGCTGGGGGGGCCCCTCCCAGCCAGGTTGTCCAGGCCCTGACTCTGGCGGTGGGGGCAGTGGTGGGGCAGCCTGGGCCGTGCCAGAGTCCGAGCCAGGTGAGGTGGGGTCAGGGCCCCCAGCAGGGCTGGGAGTCGGGGCAGGGGCAGCAGCAGTGCCAGTCGGGGGAGGTCCAGGGAGAGGGGTCTCAGCTCCAGGGGGCTGCTCCGTGGGAGTGGCTGCCTGCATGATCTTCTGGCGCACCTCCCGTATCTTTAACTGCAGACAAACCTTGGAGGGGAAGATGTCTGCATAGCGGGCCTGGAAGGCTGCAGTGGCTTGGGCTGGAGATAGAAAGATGGTAGGAAGGACAGAGTGAGATGGGTAGGCAGGTCACATCTGAGTGACCCCACAACTCCAAGATACATTCACCTGATGGGAAGAAGCCATGATCCTGGAAGAGCTGCATGACCAGGGCCCGGCGCTGGTCCAGGGTACGCCGCAGTGATGAGTATGGTACCTTCTCATACTCCAGTTCCCCAAGTACATCCTCAGCTTCTGTACCTGATCAGGGAACACCATGGTCAAGGCTACAACAGCAGCTTGGGCCTCCATGCCGTCCACCTGACTGTCTACTCAAGCTCTCAATGAATTTTATTTCACAGAGGGAGCAGGGAAGGGACCTGCCCAAGGTCACATGGCAACTTTAGGGGCCTGATGGACCCCAGAACCCACTCTTGACCTCCAATGCTTCCTCCAAGTGACACTCAACTCACCTCTCCCATTATCTAACTGCCTACCCCAAGACCCTACTCCTCTTGCAGGCCCTGGGGACAACTCAGGCCCCCACAGCTCTGGCTACCACGTCATCCATACCTGTACGGTCAAAGGTGAAGATGTCCCCCTCACACTTAGCACTCTTGGGGGTGTTGGGCTCTGAGCTACAGCTGGAGCGTCTCCTCATTTTGCGCTTAGGTGAAGTGGGATCCTCAGGCGCTGAGTCCAGGTCTGATCAAACAAAAACAGAAACAGGTTCAGTGGAGAAAGCTCTAGTCTGTTCCTCCACCTACTTACCCGAGGCACCTAGCACTCGCCTACCGGTAGAGTTCTTCCTCTTTTTGCGGTAAGAGCCCAGGATGGCCCGGGGTGAAGTGGCCAGAGACTGCAAGGTCGGAGAAGGCAGCACCTCCTCAGGCCGAAACTCAGGCAGCTCAGCAAAACGCTCCTCAAAGTCTACCTCTGACAGGACCCTGCTGGAGAGCCGGCAGGGTCACCTCCTCTGCCTCAGGCTGCAGCTGCCCCTGCTCCTGCCACCCCACATACTCCACCAAGATGCCAGCCCATGCTCACTTGTCCACAGAGTCAAAGGTCTTCTTCAGGGGCGGGGGCCGCACCTTCACCTTCTTGCCAGTACTAGCCGCCTCTTTGCGTTCAGGTGTGTCCCCGGCCGCCCTCCCGCTGCTGCCCTCACTGCTGCTGTTGCTACCAGAGGCTGTGGCTGGAGCTGGGGCTGGGCTGGGTGGGGTAGGAGGCTCCCCACGACCCTCCAGGCCCTGCCCAGGGACACGCCAGTCTGAAGATGAGCTGGGGAATTTGCTGGCCTGGGGTAGAGAAGGGCAGGGATGGAGAACACTAAACTCAGCCTCACCATGGCAAGGGCAGGACAGAGGTGAAAGCTGAAGCAGCCTGACATGTGGACCCCTGGAGAAGACCTAGTCATGTGACTTAACAAGGTCAAAACATGGACCTCCGAAAGGCAAGGGATACAACACAGGCAGGCAGGATGGACAGAGGGGACCTTTGAACCTGAGGGACACACGGGCATGGGAGTAAAGAAGAGCGAAACAGAAAAGCAATGACAGCAGAGGAGCAAAGCTGGGCACAGCAGGGGCTCCACACCTGCAGATGCTCACCATGGTGTCAGGAACTTTGGTGCTGGTCCGCTCTTCAGCAGCCAGAGGTGGTGGGGAACTGCTCCGGGCTGTTGGAGTCCAGCTCTCTGGGGGTGGCAGAGGAGCTGGTGGTGTGGGCTGCCCCTCAAGTTCAGACTCTGAGGCAGCTGGCTCACGGACAGGGCCAGGCTCCAGAGACTGCCGGGGTGCAGGGCAAGATCGCCCAGAGGCACCTGCCTCAAAGGAGCCTACAGGAATGCTGGCGATGGCCGCCTTCACTTTCTGTGGGGCCTTTGGGCTAGGACGCTGGGCCTTGGGAGCCACTAAGCTGTAGGTCATGGAGCCTGTAGGTGGAGAGAAGAGCACTTGCTAAGCCAGGCCTGACCAGAGCCTATTCCCTGGGTCCCCCAAGTCACCCTGCCCTGAGTTAGTCTGACACCCACCTGTGGCACTGGGGAAAGGACTAGTAGGGGCTGGGGTGGCAGTGGCTGGGGCAGGTGGGCCTTTGGGCAGAATGGTGGCAGCAGGTGGGGTGGTGCTGGTGGCTACAGTGTAGACCACGCTTGGAGGGGCCTGGGATGGCTGGGCCAGGGGTGCTGAAGAGGTGGGCACAGGGCTTCCAGGGTAAAATGCCGTTATGACAGGACCTCCCGGGGCTGCACAGGCAGGCGGCAGCTGGGGGCTGGGCACAGGTGACACGCCCACTTGGCCAGGAGCCAGCAGTGGTGCTTGGCCTGCTGAGAGAGAGACAGAGACGGAAAGGCAGGGGACCAATTAGGGCCCAGGCTGCCTCAGCCCCACCCTGGGTCCCCAGCGCTGCCTGCCAGGCCGCCCCTCACCTGAGAGCAGGGGCTGCACGAAGGCGGGGCCGCTGGGCCCCAGCGAGGTGAAGCCTAGAGCTACTGAGCTCGTGGGCCCATACGAGGTGACTGTTCCAGCCTGGCTAGATGCAGGACTGGTACCCAGGGGCAGCGTGTGCCCGCCCGCTGACTGCACGTAGGTGATTCTGCCACAAGGAGAGGAAATGGAGGAGTGAGGTGGGCTGGCCCTACCCCACCCCTTCCCTGGCCTCTGAAGGAGGGCTCAGCTGCAATTACCTGGTGGAGGAGGGCAGCAGGACTTTCTGGGGTTGGGAGGTGGGTCCAGGAAGTGTGGCCGGGCTCAGAGGCGGCACCAGGCCGCTGGGTGTGCTCACAGGCACTGGAGTCAG